TGGTGGCACGACAGTTCGGTGCAAAATTTGCATAGATTGTGCTCACGTTACCGCGCCACTTTTTGCGGTGGTTGGGCCAAGGATACTCCCTTCCTGGCAATTAATCCTGACGGCACAACGGTTTGGTGCAAATTTTGCATTGGTTGAACGCACGGTACCACGTAATAGTTGCACTGGTTGGGCTGAGTGTACCCAGCTATACGAGCACTTGATGAGCCAAAGGTATTTGCTAATACTAGCATTTAAGGACCCAACAGTATCTCTAATAGTGGGGCTTGTCGACACAAGGGTACCCCCAATAGTTGTTCGTGAGGACCAAGGCTATGAGATTGATGATGCTAGGTAGTCCCATGACCGTTACCTGCGTTCTCGGGTAACTGCGAACAGGGCGTTACCGTTTCCGGTGACTGGGAACTTTTTCGTTACCGTTACTGTTCCCAGGAACGGTCTGGGAACGGTAACTTCCCATCCCTAGTTACAGATCAGTTTCTATCAAAGAACTGGTTGAACAGATCAGTTCCTATCAAAGAACTGGTTGGACAGATCAGTTCCTTTCAAAGAACTGGTAGGTACAGATCAGTTCCTATCAAAGAACTGGTTGAACAGATCAGTTCCTATCAAAGAACTGGTTGGACAGATCAGTTCCTTTCAAAGAACTGGTAGGCACAGATCAGTTCCTATCAAAGAACTGGTTGAACAGATCAGTTCCTTTCAAAGAACTGGTAGGCAGAGATCAGTTCCTATCAAAGAACTGGTTGAACAGATCAGTTCCTTTCAAAGAACTGGTAGGCACAGATCAGTTCCTATCAAAGAACTGGTTGGACAGATCAGTTCCTTTCAAAGAACTGGTAGGCACAGATCAGTTCCTATCAAAGAACTGGTTGGGCGGACCAGTTCCTATCAAAGAACTGGTAGGCACAGATCAGTTCTTTTAAAAGAACTGGTTGGACAGATCAGTTCCTATCAAAGAACTGTTTGAACAGTTCTCAAAAACGGAACTGATATGGAACTGTCCAGGGTCTATTGATAAGCAAGATAAATAGAGATTGTATTACACATGAAACAGTAAAACGACTGATATTTGCGAACACATACTGTATTTTTACGTTTTGAAATAGACAACTACAAACGTTGTTGATATTAAAACAGAAGAATTTTTAAGGAAATTATCACATTTCCGCATAATATGGTGAATGATTTCAATTAAATAAGATCGTTTTTCGAGTATCTAAAAATTCACATGACATATTTTCACCAACACAAAAAAATATATTTCGAAGATCCTTATAGAACAACCTTCAGTCAATTTCTCATAACTTTCCGAATATCGCTAGAGGCGATGTTAGACTATCTACGCATTATACCATCATTAAGAAGGGAGATTGTTTTCAAATCGGATTAAGGCTATCTAAAAGACTCATAATGTATTACGCAAGGAAAATAACTGGAAGTTTTTGTCGATTATGTAAAACATAGATCAATATCTACTCTAAATAATTTTGATAATCCCTCGTTATCTGTTTTAAAGTTAACCAACAAATACTGTGGCGATTCAACTCTGAGATGGACATTAATTATATGCATTGTACTCTCTTTCTTCCTTTTGTCATTCTAAAATTATGCCATATCTTTTTCTTCTTCTACTATTCATGAAGAAGTTTTTAATTTATTCTCATACGAATATATGAGCATCATGTTACGAATAATATCGCTGGAAACATAGAAATAAATAAATAAAAGTTTTCAAAAAATGCAAAAATTCTAATTTGTATCATGATCATAGATGCTGCAGTTTTGCGGATAGAAAAATCAACATTAAAATTATCCATAATTGACAAATCAAATCAAATCTAACTTTCACAATATCATTTTCAACCACAATAAATTATTTTTTCTGCTCTATGTAGAGTCAGAATCACTATACCAACGACTGTGAAAACACTCATGGATGAAGTTATCACACGAGCAAAGGATTCGATTAATAAAGTATTAGAAGCACCACCATGTTGGCTTTTAGAGCTTTCGGACAATGAAAAAACTCCACTTGCTGATGTTCCTAACCTTATTAGTCGCTTAATCGAACATGATTCGTCGAAAAATAAGTGGATTCGATTGTTCCGTCGACAGTTAAAACGATTGATAATTAATAATGATTCATTACCAAAAGGCTTTTGGATTGAACTACATGATGATATTCTTTATGTTTTAGACGAAGCAAATGATGAGCAAAGTATACGTAGCAACTGGAGTTTTTTTCTCCAAAGGATGTTATTCGAAGAACAATTGGAACAATGTGAATTACAATTACAGCAGATTATAGGAGAACGAAAAAATTTAAGTGAGTTATTGTATAAACGTAAGGAGTTTTTTGAAGGATATCTTCAGAAATGTATTTCTTTTCATTCGAAAGTGCAGGTACACGGTCTGGTCGAGGATATTGATGATCTTCTTTACAGAGTTTATGGTTTAAAAGAACTGTCACTCAGTTTGGACCGTCGAATCCATCTTAAAGAAAAACTAAAATATATTGAGATGCCAATTGATTACTCTAATAGATCATTACAAAGTTTCTATTGCAACATTCCCACAAATGATAGTTCATTTGAGGGTGCCAGTAACGATCTTAGTAACTTTTTACCATCTATATCCATAGACATGCATAAGACTGGTAGACCAGAGGTAATTGAGAATGTTCTCGGATTCGATCGATGAATTGTCATTCTCGGTGATCCAGGTAATGCAAAAACTACTCTTGTTCGATGGAATACACTTGTTTTTGCTGAAGCAGCTAGTCGTGGCGAGGAAAAAGTAGATTTTAAAGGATACTGTCACGTACCAGTTCGCATTCCTATTTTAATTCGAATCGGTGAATTTACGTCGTGGTTTAGCCAACGTCAAACAAAACATTAATAGATTATATTGGTGAACACACATGGTTTTCAGAACGTTATTGTGACGACGAAGATAAAAATATATTAAAAGAGTTGATATATCATGGTCATGCTTTGATTCTTCTTGATGGACTTGATGAAATTTCAGAAATCGGACAAAGATGTGAAATTGTTGATCTTGTAGAAAAGTTTATTGATGACTATGTACGAACACCGGACTTCATTTCGGTATTCGACAATATAATGTTAGTTTCCTATGAAAATATGATTGAAATGCAACCATCCAGCAAATCTGGTGGCAATCAGATAGTTGTCACCGGTCGCATTATTGGATACCAGTTTCATCCACTTGATCAATTGTTCATCCGGCATTATTCATTGTTATTGATGAATCATAAAGAAGCAAATGAATTTGTGAAAAAGTGGATGACACAAGTTGACATAGGCATACGGAATGTTTTGCTTAATGACGGAATTAAGCTTGATGAAGAAACAGTAAAAACTTCATTGAAGAAAGTATTCAGCGTTGGAGAAGCAATATTTGAAAATAGTTCAGAATTATTAGTGTCAAATCCTTCTTTGTTATCTCTAATCTGCACGTTTATCTTCCAATCATCGCTTGAATTCCATCTAAAATCTCGAGTCCAAATGTACAATTATGCTGTTCAAGCAGCATTACACGCCTGGAAAAGTCAGGAATCAAATGTCTTGGAAAGTGATCTAATTAATTTTCTAATTGATCTTGCCATGTATCTTCATTTAAAATCACCATCTGGTCTCATAGATGCATTTGATATCGAACATTTATGTTGTGTGACCTTGAAGAAACAAAAAGTCTCAAAGAATCGTATAAAACAACGTGAATACGCAAACAAACTAATATCTTTCTTAGAATCTAATCTGAGAGAGGTTTACAAACATTTGGTTTTCTACATTTATCATTTCAAGAATATTTTTTTGCACAATCACTTGTCAGAGGTTCTTCTATTGAAGATGTTGCAAAATGCATTCTTTCTTTTACAACTCATCCTCGTTTTCGTGAATCACTTCTTTTGATCTTTGGTTGGATTAGTTGGCAATGGTCATTTGATAAGTATGATCAATTTTGTAGTTTACTTTTTACTCAAACTGAAAATTATATTATTCCATTTGGAACACTTCTATTCTTTGATGCTATTAATGATATGCATAGATTGCCTTCGAATTCGCTGATTTTCATTGCACTCAACAATTTACTAAATGAATCATCTAATATTATTAGAGGCGTATATTTGATATCAAATTTGTCTAAATTGCCGGAAAATATTATAATCGAGTGGATGGAGTCGTATTTGAAAGACGATAAATGTCTTCTCAACTTCTGTCAATCTTTCCCGACGAATCGTAAAAAACGCTATGAATCAACTAAGGATGATAGAAAAATAATATATTCTATTATTTATCAACAACTTTGGTCGTTTTGCAATAGAAGTTCATCGATCGAGTTCCTTATTGATCAAACTTTTCAGAAAATACTGATATTAAATGAGATATCGGATCAGATTTTTAACAAAAATTTATCCTTGTACCTTCAATCGCACAACATCTGTGTATTCAACATTCATCCTTTGATACTTTCTACCATTATTGCGTTGTGTGGTGGGATATTTCTTAAATGTAAGAAAGACAAGATGATTACGTTTGATTTTTCTCCAAAAAAGATGCATTGTGAATCTTCTATCTTTGCTCCGATAATAGAATATTTCGATAATAATCAAAATTCTCATCTAACTAAAGTTGGCACACTTATTAATCGATATGAGAGTATTCTTCAACAGACTTCACCTACAGATGCATCTATTGATATTATCGATACTTGTATTGCTTTCATCTGTTTGCAAGGCCTTTCACAGCCATTGATTTATCAAAAGTACGATGGATATCAAGCATTACCATTGGCGCTTGGAAGATTCAAACGAATATGGTTCTATTTCAAGAAATCATTAAGAAATGATTCCCCTACCAATGCGACATATCTTTTATCAGATCTGAAATTGAATCAATCATTAGGGAGTTCTGTTCGCAGCCTAATCAATCCAAAAAAGAACACTTATTATTTTCGTTAGCAGGCGCAGCTGCATGGAAGAAACTTGGCATGTGGGACATAGTAGCAGACAAGGAATAAATCAGAGCAAATCACTCGAGATATTCATTCATCGCAAATATCACAAAAAGAACCAGTATTCATGTTGAGTTTTTTACCACAATCTCTTCAAGAATTGTACTACTGCACGACCATCTCTCCAACTAATAAAACAGATTCATTACCATTAGTAGTACTT